CACCACTGGAGCGAGGGGTACCTTGATCGCCGTAACCTCCTTGGCTGCAGCATCCTGTCGGGTCTGCGCGTCCTCGCCCTTGGCCATCTTGCAATCCGTATCCATTTTGGCTCAAGGCAGTACTCGCAGTAAGTTTGTTGGCGCCAGCGGCAGCGCGATCCTTCCAGGTCTTATTGCGCAACCTAATTCTCATCGCGTGTCGCTGACGAGCCATGGGAAGTGTCCTCGGCAAGTGTTGCAAGTTCCTTGGGTCGGCCACGGAGTCGACGCAGCAGGGGCCCACGGCAGACCCAACCGGTCCCGCAGCAGACGCTGCTGCAATTGTGGCTGATCACGCAGGGATTCCCGACCCGTCCGAGATCACATGGGCGGTGGCCACGAAGATGAAGGAGTGCCTGCAGGATTACCCCAACATCATCCAGTTTGACAGCTCCAGGCTGCAAGCGTCTGTCAATGTGGTTGCAGATGTTCTCCAGGGAGCGAACCTACGCATCAGCCTCGCGGCCCCGATCGAGCTGGTCTGCCGGGCCGTGGCGAACACCGCCATCAAGGTGACTGACGGCACGGACGTCGGAGAGGTTCTGAGCAAAGTTATGCAGAGCCAGCAGAACATTATCCAGAGAGACATCGAGGCCTTGCGCGAGATGCATCTGAAGAATGCCATGGACGAGATCGAGGTGCTGGCCGCAATGAGCAAGACGTTGATGGAGCTCAAGGCGGAAGGGTCCTCAAACTTTGAGAATGAGCTCACGTTCTACGTTCAGAGAGCGCTCTCGGCAGAAGGGCACGCGAGGGACGCGTTCAACGTTGCAGAGGGTAAGCTGGACGAGAAGGTCCGCGCAACGACGCTGATGGCGTCGGCGATGATGGCTCAGACCTTGGACCCGAAGCGGGAGCGTCGAGTCATCGCCGACCAGCTGGCCCATGCCCTGAAGAAGCTCTTCAACGACGAGGACATGCAGGTGCTGATCGGCCAGGAGTGCGGGTCACGGAACAAGGTGCTGTGCTTCAGGGAGAGGCGGCAGCGTCGCCTCCGGGAAGCTTTCCAATGCCTGGTCCACGTCGAGGGATGGATCGCGCAGCACGCTCCGGGGCGGCAAACTGTCCTGAGCAGCTTGGACAAGCCCTTTGACATGAATCGCATCGTCCAGCATGGCATCCTCGACCCGCAGGGCAGCACAGTGGGCGCACTCGCTCGCCTGGCCGGCGGGGAGGAGTACAGCGACATGGAGCTCGGCATATTGCAGAGCTACTGCGGGCAAAGGCCGAAGATGCAGGCGGCGACAGCTCTCTCGGGCTCCAGAGACAATACCCTGAAGCTGTGGGAGCTCTCCACGGGGAGGTGCCTCCGGACCCTCGAGGGCCACACGTACGAGGTGATGTGCGTCACCGCGCAAGGCAAGGACGGGGCCCTCTCGGGCTCCATCGACAAGACCCTGAAGCTGTGGGAGCTCTCCACGGGCAGGTGCCTCCGGACCGGCCACACGGGCTGGATGATGTGCGTCACGGCGCTGGGCGAGGACGGCGCCCTCGCGGGCTCCGAGGACAATGCCCTGAAGCTGTGGGAGCCCTCCACGAGGAGGTGCCTCCGGACCCTCACGGGCCACACGGACTGGGTGTGGTGCGTCACCGCGCTAGGCAAGGACGGGGCCCTCTCGGGCTCCAGCGACAAGACCCTGAAGCTGTGGGAGCTCTCCACGGGCAGGTGGAAAATGACTGAAATCACGATCCCAGAACACTTGGATCGCGATCCAAGTGTTCCTCCTACCATGGAAGACTTGGATCGCGATCCAAGTGTTCCTCCTACCATGGAAGACTTAGATCGCGATCCAAGTCGTTGAGGGGGAGGACGGGGGAAGGCAGAGGAAGGAGACCCGGAGAAGATTAGGGGGGAGGTGTGGGGGCACACGTGGATCGTGATCCAAGTGTCCCCGCGTTGGCGTCGGAGACGTCGGAGACGTCGGGGAGCAGAGTCGGGGAGCAGAGTCGGGGAGCAGAGTCGGGGAGCAGAGTCGGGGAGCAGAGTCGGGGAGCAGAGTCGGGGAGCAGAAGTCGGTAGCAGAGTCGGGAGCAGAGTCCGTGGAGCGAGTCGGGTCATCGATTCGGGGAGCAAGTCGGGGAGCAGAGTCGGGCAGCAGAGTCGGGGAGCAAAGTCGGGGAGCAGAGTCGGGGAGCGGAGCCGGGGAGCGGAGTCGGGGAGCAGAGTCGGGGAGCAGAGTCGGGGAGCAGAGTCGGGGAGCGGAGTCGGGGAGCAGAGTCGGGGAGCGGAATCGGGGAGCAGAGTCGGGGAGCGGAGTCGGGGAGCAGAGTCGGGGAGCGGAGTCGGGGAGCAGAGTCGGGGATCAGAGTCGGGGAGCAGAGTCGGGGAGCGGAGTCGGGGAGCAGAGTCGGGGAGCGGAGTCGGATCTTCCACAACATGTGTTTGGATTTCCTGGTGCCGCTTCGCCTCAGGGTTCCGAGCGGGGCCTCTGGGGGGCCTCTTGTGGTCCTCTTGGGGCACTCATCGGGGCCTCTTGGGGCTCTTTTGGGGCCCTCTTGTGGCTGTTTTGCATCCTCTTGCGGCTTGTTTGGGGCCCTTCGGGGGGCCTCTTGCGGCCAACTCTGGCGGCAAGGCTCGACATGCGTCAGCTGTGCTAGAAGAGTTGAAGAGTTTTCACATAGCCGACGAACACCCCAAGAGGGCTCAGACGGTTCACACGCGCCCCCCCCGGGGGGTCCGGCGCGGTCTGCCCCCCTCCTTCCGGGGCCCTTGCGAAGGCAATTCTGTGCTGCAAATCGCAGGAAAATAATTATGCCGTTTTCTACGTGGGACGATTTTTTGGCATAATTCTTTCCCCGCATTCGCCAATCCCCAATGGGGGCCCCCGGGCGGCCCAAGAAAGCCCCCGCACTGCCCAAGAGATCCCCGAGGAGGCCCCAAGAGGGCCCCAGAGCGAGCCCACAGATGCCCGAGCCGGCCGCAAAACGGAACCATCTTGGGGCCCTCTTGGGGCCCTCTTGGGGCCCGGGGTTCTCACCTTACGATGGTGCTTCGCGGACCGTCGTCCAAGCTCTCTGGGGGTCCTCTTGGCGCCCAATCCAGATCCAGCGAGCGGCGTAGGGGGAGGAGTACATCCCACCCCGAAGGGGAAGATGGGGGTTCGAAGAGAGACCGCCGTAGATCACCCACGCCCAGAGGTCTGGTGGAATTCTCGACCATGCGGGGACTGGGACTTTTTGAGTTGCCATTCGAGGTTCAAGGAGATTCACTGTTGCCGCTGCGGCCGCTGCCGCTCCTTAGCTCTTGGCGCCACCCGAGGGGTCTGTCCCGCAGGGGCCCTCGTAGGGCCGTAGGGCTTCCGCCCCCTCCGCCCCCCGATGTTGTAGCCATCTTGTTTCATGGCATGTCGGCCCAAGGGTACGCGGGCCAGCTGCAGCGCCCGCGATCCGCGGGAGGGGTGTGCCGACATTGGCGTCGGGTCGTTGGGCCTCTCGAGGTCTCTGGGGGTCTGTCGTGCAGGGGCCCTCGTAGGGCCGTAGGGCTTCCGCCCTCTCCGCCCCCCGATGCTGTTGCCATTTTGGCTCGTAGCATGTCGGCTCAAGGGTACGCGAGCCAGCTGCAGCGCCCGCGATCCGCGGGAGGGGTGTGCCGACATTGGTGTCGGGTCGTTGGGCCTCTCGAGGTCTCTGGGGGTCTGTCGTGCAGGGGCCCTCGTAGGGCCCTAGGGCTTCCGCCCCCTCCGCCCCCCGATGCTGTAGCCATTTTGGCTCGTGGCATGTCGGCTCAAGGGCGCGCGGGCCAGCTGCAGCGCCCGCGATCCGCGGGAGGGGTGTGCCGAAATCGGCGTCGGGTGTCCGCGGCCTCTCGAGGTCTTCATGAGGTCTGTCCTGCAGGGGCCCTCGTAGGGCCGTAGGGCTTCCGCCCCCTCCGCCCCCCGATGCTGTAGCCATCTTGGCTCGTGGCATGTCGGCCCAAGGGTACGCGGGCCAGCTGCAGCGCCCGCGATCCGCGGGAGGGGTGTGCCGAAATCGGCGTCGGGTGTCCGCGGCGCCTCTCGAGGTCTTTGGGGGTCTGTCCTGCAGGGGCCCTCGTAGGGCCGTAGGGCTTCCGCCCTCTCTGCCCCCCGATTCTGTTGCCATTTTGGCTCGTAGCATGTCGGCTCAAGGGTACGCGAGCCAGCTGCAGCGCCCGCGATCCGCGGGAGGGGTGTGCCGACATTGGCGTCGGGTGTCCGCGCGCCTCTCGATTAGGTTTGGTTCTGTCCGCAGGGCCCCTCGTAGGGCCGTATGGCTTCCGCCCCTCTCCGCCCCCGAATGCTGTTGCCAGATGCCTCGTATCATTTGGTGGGTTTTTCCCCACCCCCCCCCCCCCCCCCCCCCCGGGGGCTCAGGGTAACCGAGCCAGCTGCAGCGCCCGCGTAATCCGCGGGAGGGTGTTCGACTTGGTTTCGGGTCGTTGGGCCCATCGAGGTCTCTGGTTCTGTCGTGCAGGGGCCCCTCGTAAGGGCCCTAGGGCTCCGCCCTCCGACCCCCGATGCTGTAGCCCTTTTGGCTCGTGGCAAATGTCCCCACACCCGAGGCAGGCCAGCTGCAGCGCCCGCGATCCGCGCGAGGGGTGTGCCGAAATGGGCGTCGGGTCTCCGCGGCGTCTCGAGGTCTTTCGGTGTCTCTCCTGCAGGGGCCCTCGTAGGGCCGTAGGGCTTCCGCCCCCTCCGCCCCCCGATGTTGTAGCCATTTTGGCTCGTGGCATGTCGTCTCAAGGGTACGCGGGCCAGCTGCAGCAGGAGCACTGATAACGGCTTGGCGTTTGATTTCGCTCTCACTCTGAGTTTGCGGTCGCTCTCCTACCACTACTAATCCTACTAGTCGTACTAGTACTATCACTGCTACTGCTACTGCTACTGCTACTACTACTACTACTACTACTACTACTACCACTACTACTACTACTACTACTACTACTACTACTACTACTACTACTATTACTACTACTACTACTACTACTACTACTACTACTACTACTACTACTACTACTACTACTGCACTACTACTACTACAACTACTACTACTACTACTACTACTACTACTACTACTACTACCTACTACTACTACTACTACTAACTACTACTACTACTACTACTACTACTTTACTACTACTACTACGACTACGATACGACTACGACTCCGACTACTACTACGTCTACGACTCGTACTATTACATACTACTACTACTACTACTCTACTAGCTACTGCTGACTACTACTAACTAACTACTACTACTGCTACTACTACTACTACTACTTACTACTACTACTACTACAACTACTACAACTCTACTACTACTACTACTACACTACTACTACTACTACTACTACTACTACTACTACTACGACTACTACTACTACTACTACTACTACTTCTACGGCTACGACTACGACCTACTACTACTACTACTACTACTACTACTACTACTACTACTACCACCAACTAACCACATACCACTACACTACCACTACCACTACCGACTCCACTACCCTACTACTACTACTACTACTACTACTACTACTACTACTACTACTACTACTACTACTACTACTACTACTACTACTACTACTACTACTACTACTACTACTACTACTACTACTACTACTACTACTACTACTAGTACTTCTACTTCTACTTCTACTTCTACTTCTACTTCTACTTCTACTTCTACTTCTACTTCTACTTCTACTTCTACTTCTACTACTACTACTACTACTACTGCTGCTGCTGCTGCTGCTGCTGCTGCTACTGCTACTGCTTCTGCTGCTGCTGCTGCTGCAGCTCCTCTTCGCCATTCGTGTCCGGAACCATATAGGCCCAGACAAGGCCGGAGTGTCGTTTATGCGCGTCGGTATGTGTTTTCCAGGATTTCTTTTTTGGTGGACTCACATCACCATTTGTTTTGCAGTGCATTCGGACGCAATGGGGTCCAATCCGCTTTTGATCCCCCGCGAAGTCCTGAGCGAAGCGTGGACAAAGGACATCGGCAGGAAATCTAGCACATCTGCGAAACGATTCTACAGTATGCGATCGGAGCAGAAAGTCCCCTCCACAGCGAGACGTGGACGCCGCCCTGTGACCGACCAGATGCGCGCGACCGGGAAAACTCTGAAAGCCATTGCCTCCAAGGGGGGCGTCAGCGACAGGACAGAACGCAAGTACAATCCACTGGTCCGCAGCAAGCCCCGCGGGAAGGAAACAGTGTTGTCATTGAAACGGAAACAGATATGCTTATTATACGGGGGCGACGTATCAGATACCGTCGAGTTGTTGCCAAAGCTAATGGTATCATGGGCTTTCTTGAGAGAGTTCGCCAGATTAGGCATCGACCCTCTCCAGCACGTGATCTCTTGGGAATCCAGATCACTTTCGCCTGCGATGTTTCTGAGGCTCATTTCTACGAGGAACCAATTCCGCCATGACGCCCCTTCGTTCCACCAGGCTGTCTTTGGCCGTAACGGCGACCTCGCACTTTCAATGCATAGCCACAATTGGTTTCACACCGACGACGCTTGGTTTAAATCGGTCGGGTCGCTCGTCGGCAGGTGGCAGAGCATGGGCGTTCAGAGCGATGTGCAAGTGCAGTTAGTCTCCCTGCTACAAACGTTCAACGGCGGGGCTGTGATGAAAGCGTTGCAGGCCGTGGAGGCCGCGGGCTCTTTGTCGTTATGGCATGGGCAGACTGGCCCTCAACGCGACGCAGCCCTGGGCTCGTTCGCCACGGATATCCTGAAGTCCGGGCAGAACGTGTTCTCCATTTGTTTCAACCTCAGGGCCTACAATTCTTGCCTCGACAGCAGCCGCTCTATCTCCCCAGCTGGGATGACGCAGATCAAGCAAGGTTTGCGCAAAGTGCTGTACCAGGGAGCGGCTCGAGATTTGTGCGAGTATAAGATATACACGACAAAGCTTGAGTTCCTGTCCAGGACGAAAGGGTACTCGGACGACGCCGAACTGTCGTTCATGGGGAAGAATCTATTGAACGTTCTCGATGGGTTGGGCCGCGCCCATGTGCATCTACAGAACCACGTGTTGGAGTCGAAATCTGACCACCCGGATGGCCCGGGCGCGCTGGAGTTCTACCGCCTTAGCGGTCGCGTCGAGAAGGCCGTCCGGGCGTATAGGAAGGAGCTGATGTCGGATATGAGGTTCATGTGGCCGAAGGCGGTATGCGTGGACGGGAAGCCTGCAGAGGGGTGCCACCTTGGGTTTTGCACTGATCAGGAAGTCACTGAAGAGACCACGCAGTTCGCCAGCTGCGCGTTGACCCGGGCCCTGAACTACGTGCTCACTGGCGTGATCCCCGAGCATCTCCAGCGGGCCTCTGCGCTCGCCTCAAAAATGGTGGAGAAGTTGCGTCGCTTGCGCGCAGCTCGCAAGCGCCCGGCCGCCGCGAATCCGTAGAGGAAAAAATGAGCGGCAGGCAGCCGGGCGGGACGGACGTATACTGCTGAGGCCCTCCGCCCGCCCCCGCAAAGAGAAAGAATCCCCCCTAAGGGGGCGCGATCGAAGACAAAGCGAGCGGGTAGCGAGGGCGCGGGGCATTCGTTGCCGCCGCTGCCGCCGCCGCCGCCGCCGCCGCCGCCGCCGTCGTCGTCGTCGTCGTCGTCGTCGTCGTCGTCGTCGTCGCCGCCGCCGCCGTCGTCGCCGTCGTCGTCGTCGTCGTCTTCGTCGTCGTCGTCGTCGTCGTCGTCGTCCCCGCCGCCGCCGCCGCCGGCGACGCCGCCGCCGTCGCCGCCGCCGCCGCGTTGGGCGTGATTTGTTCATCACAACAGGAGTTCGCAAGTTTCGGATCTAGGATTGTTTCGGCATCGCTTGCGACTGGCTGTGTCTCGGACGGCCCGGGCTGGACACACGCGCACACACTTCCTCACATGCGTGCTTCTCACCGAAGGCCTCAGCAGCGATTTGTTGCACGCGTCCCCCCGCTTATTTAGGCGCACCCTTCCCGAAGGTCGTGGCCCCATCGGGAGCTCCGCCGAATGTCCCAGCGGCAGGGTCCGCATGCGTCCCCCCGCCAAGTTCGGGAGGCCCATCACGAGGATCGCGGCCTCACAAGGAGCTCCACGGGTCGCGGCCCCTGCGGGAGCTCCACGGGAGCTACTACTACTACTACTACTACTACTACTACTACTACTACTACTACTACTACTACTACTACTACTACTACTACTACTACTACTAACTACTACTAACACTACTAACACTACTACTACTACTACTACTACTACTACTACTACTACTACTACTACTACTACTACTACTACTACTACCACTACTACTACTACTACTACTACTACTACTACTACTACTACTACTACCACTACCACTACCACTACCACTACTACTACTACTACTATTTCTACTTCTACTTCCACTACTACTACTAATTCTATTTCTACCACGACTACTACTACTTCTTCTTCTACTTCTACTTCTACTTCTACTTCTACTTCTACTACTAGTATTATTACTACTACTACTACTACTATTACTTGTACTTCTACTTCTACTTGCACTTCCACTTCTACTATTACTACTACTACTACCACTACTACCACAACTACCACTAACTACACTAACCACTACTACCACAACTACTACTACTACTACTACTACTACTACTACTACTACTACTACGAAACTACTTTCAATGCTACTTAATACTTCTACTTCTTCTTCTTTCCTCTTCTACTTCTACTTATACTTCTTCTTTCCTACCCTACTTCTAACTACGACTACTACTCTCTGCTACTACTACGACTACTACTACTACTACGACGACGACGACTACTAAAAGCTACTACTACTACGACTACTACTACTACTGCTACTACTAAAAGCTACTGCTCCTACTACTACTACTACGACGACGACGACGACTACTACTACTACTACTACTACTACGAAGACGAACATCACTACTACTTGAACTATGGCTCCTTCTCCTAGTCCTAGTCCTACTCCTACTCCTACTACTCCTACTATTACTACTACTACTACTACTACTACTACTACTACTACTACTACTACTACTACTACTACTACTACTACTACTACTACTAAACTACTACTACTACTACTACTACTACTACTACTACTACTACTACTACTACTACTACTACTACTACTACGAAACTACTCTCTAACTTCATCTACTACTACTACTACTACTAACTAACAACTACTGACTACTGTCTACACTACTAACTACTACTACTACTACTACTATCTTCTTCTACTTCTACTTCCTTCTACTACTACTACTATCTACTATCTACTAACTACTAACTACTAACTACTAACTACTAACTACTAACTACTATTACTACTACTACTACTACTACTACTACTACTACTACTACTACTACTACTACTACTACTACTACTACTACTACTACTACTACTACTACTACTACTACTACTACTACTACTACTACTACTACTACTACTACTACTACTATTACTACTCCTGGGCCCCCGGGCGCGCCCTGGAATTTGTTTCTTTCCGGGCGGGCCCCCAGGGGTCCTACGTGGGAGTCGCCCGGGCGATGTTTCTGTACATGTTCCTGTACATGTGCTTCATGTGGTTCTCCTTACATTTCGGTGTTGCCCCAAATTGAATATGTTTCATTTTCGGGTGTGTTCGAAGACGGTGAGCTCGTCAGGGGCGATGGTGACGATGATGATGATGATGGTGATGATGATGGTGATGGCGGCCGTGGTGATGATAAGGACGATGTGGGGGGGCGGTGATGGGCATTCTGATGATGATGATGATGACGATTGTGATGATGATGGTGGTGGTGATTTTTTGATGATGATGTTGCTGATGATGCTGATGCTGACGGTGATGACGATGATGATTATGATTATGATGATGATAATGATGATGATGATGCTGACGACGACGACTGGGCTGGCTGCGCTGTAGGAAACGACGACGACTGGGCTGGGATGGGGTGATGATGATGATGCTGACGACGACGACAGGGCTGGGATGATGATGATGCTGCTGACGACGACGACAACCCAAGGTAACGTACGGAAACCCATGAACACCCAAACCAACGGAAACCCACGGAAATTTAAACACACGGAAACCCACGGAAACCCAACCCAAATCCAAACGCACGGAAACCGACGGAAAACAACGGAAACCCAAACTCACGGAAGCCCACGGACACCCATGGAAGCACAGACCCACGGAAACCCGCGAAAATTCAACCCAAACCCAAACGCACGGAAACCGACGGAAACCAACGGAAACCCAACCCAAACCCAAACCCACGGACACCCACGGAAACACAAACCAACGGAAAACCATCCATCGGAAACCTATGGAAGCCCACACCCACGAAAACCAATCAGTTGCAACGTTTTTTTCTCTTTCTCCCTCGTCTTTTTTCCTCCTTCCTCCTCCTCCCACTTCCTCGCTCTTCTCCTCCTCTTCCCCCCTTCCCTCCTCTTCCTCCTCCTCCCTCCTTCCCTCCTCCCCCCGCTTCCCTCCGCCTCCTCCTCCTCGTTCGGGGGAGTCCCAAGGAAGGAGGAGGGGGCTCTCCCTGCGGCGCGCCGCGCCCAAAAGACTTGGATCGCGATCCAAGTCTTCCTGGGATCGTAATTTCAGTCGCTTCCCGGGCAGGTGCCTCCGGACCCTCGAGGGCCACACGGACCGGGTGCCTTGCGTCACCGCGCTGGGCGAGGACGGCGCCCTCTCGGGCTCCGACGACCGCACCCTGAAGCTGTGGGAGCTCTCCACAGGCAGGTGCCTCCGGACCCTCACGGGCCACGCGGGCGCGGTGCTGTGCGTCACCGCGCTGGGCGAGGACGGCGCCCTCTCGGGCTCCGACGACCGCACCCTGAAGCTGTGGGAGCTCTCCACAGGCAGGTGCCTCCGGACCCTCACGGGCCACGCGGGCGCGGTGCTGTGCGTCACCGCGCTGGGCGAGGACGGCGCCCTCTCGGGCTCCGACGACCGCACCCTGAAGCTGTGGGAGCTCTCCACAGGCAGGTGCCTCCGGACCCTCACGGGCCACGCGGGCGCGGTGCTGTGCGTCACCGCGCTGGGCGAGGACGGGGCCCTCTCGGGCTCCGACGACCGCACCCTGAAGCTGTGGGAGCTCTCCACAGGCAGGTGCCTCCGGACCCTCACGGGCCACGCGGGCGCGGTGATGCGCGTCACCGCGCAGGGCCGGGCCCTGGCACGCGACGCGCAGGGACGGATCCTTGATCCGCCGCCGCTTTTTCGTGAGCTCCGCCGTCGCGCCCTGGCGGTGCTCGGGCGAGCCCGCGGCGCAACGATCTCAAGCCTCATATAAGTCTTCATTGAAATCTTCATTTCCCCTCCCCCTCCTCCTCCTCCTCCCCCTCCTCTCCCGCCAGATGAGGCTGCCATAGTAGATCGAGGATTTAGTAACAGTTCCGTGCAATCCCTCCATCCGCCCCCGCCCCTGCCTCTCGGGGCCTTCCTCATAGGACAGGGAGGCATCGGCCGAGAACGGCTCCGGGTGATGAAATGTTGCGTTCTTTCCCCCCTGACCACCTCGGCCAGGGTGCTTCTGGCTGCAACCCTCTAGCCGGACTCCCACGTCGAGGACTCTTGGGAGGGAACATTTTGAGTGAATTGATGTATTGCATTGTGGTTGCGTTGCCGTGACGTCGGCAATTTCATCCTGGGCAGTACGTAATGTTGCACGGCGCGTGAGGCATAGTGTAGCGCGGTATTGCGCATACAGGAAAAACATCGTGAAGCTCCTGCAAATGTTTGGAACGAGTGTGCGCGGCGCTAAGGCGAGAGCCACATTTTGAAAAGGAATTGCCTTCAGTGTGTGACACTCTTGCAATTGTTAAAACGAGCGTGCGCGGCGCTCAGGCGATAACCACATTTTGAAATCGACCCTCCCTCAATCGGTGAACATGTCGCCATTTTTCAAACGTCAGGGTCATACATGGTAAGGAAGTCTCAGGGGAATCGCCCGGCCCACCCTTTCGACCAGCCTCGGGGTGGGACAGGGGGACATTTTTTATGGGGAAAAGGCATGGAGGAAAAGGAGGAGGAGGAGGGAGTGAGGAGGAGGAGGAGGAGGAGGAGGAGGAGGAGGAGGAGGAGGAGGAGGAGGAGGAGGGGGAGGAGGAGGAGAGCAGGAGGAGGAGGGCGAGGCACCGATACCGCCGTCCTTCCGTTTTCCTTTCTTTGGGGGGCCTCCTGGGAGGCCTTCGGCAGAGGCTTCTCAGAGGAAAAGAAGGCACTTTTACCGCTACCCTTTCCTTGTTTCCTTTTTTTGAGGGACTCTCCTCCGGGAAGGGAAAAAAAAAAAAAAAAAAAAAAAATTTTTAAAATTTTTTTTTTTTGACAAAAGAAAATGACGGGTCACCATTAAAATTTTTTCCTTCGCCGAGGCGTCCTCAGAGAGGAGAGGAGGATGAGGAGGATGAGGAAGGAGAGAGGAGAGGATGAGGAAGAGAGGGGAGGAGGCGGAGGGGAGGAGGAGTGGAGGAGGAAGAAGAGGAGAACGAGGAGAAAGAGGGAAAGAGGCGAAGAGGAGGAGGAGGAGGAGAGGAGGAGGAGGAGGAGGAAGGAGGAGGAGGAGGAGGAGGAGGAGGGGAGGAGGAGGGAGGAGATAGGAGGGGAGCGGAGGAGGAGGAGGAGGAGGAGGGAGGAGGAGAGGAGGAAGGAGGGAGGAGGAGAGGAGGCGGAGGAGGGAGAGGCGGATGAGGAGGAGAGAGGATGAGGAAGGAGAGGAGGAGGAGGAGGAGGAGGCGGGCGGTAGGCGGAGGCGGAGGCGGAGGCGGAGGCGGTAGGCGGAGTCGGAGGCGAGAGGCTGAGGCGAGGCGGGGCGAGGCGGAGGAGGAGGAGGAGGAGGAGGAGGAGGAGGAGGAGGAGGAGGAGGAGGAGGAGGAAGAAGAAGAAGAAGAATAAACAGACGAAGAAGAAGAATAATAATAAGAATACTAAGAAGAATAATAATAATAAGAAGAAGAAGAAGACGAAGAATAATAAGAAGAATAAGAAGAAGAATACTAAGAAGAAGGAGGAGGAGGAGGAGGGGGAGGCACCGATACCGCCATCCTTCCCTGGTTTTCCTTTTTTGGGGGCCTCCTGGGAGGCCTTCGGCAGAGGCTTCTCAGAGGAGGAGAAGGCACCGATCCCGCTACTCTTTCTTTATTTCCTTTTGTTCGGGACTCTCCTCAGGGACCCTCGGCCGAGGCGTCTCAGAGGAGGAGGAGGAGGAGGAAGAGGAGGAGGAGGAGGAGGAGGAGGAGGATGAGGAGGCACCGATTCGGCTGCCCTTCCTTCGTTCTCCCCTTCTTGGGGCCTCCTGGGGGGGGGCGCCACGGCAGGATTCGCCTCGAGATCCTGGTCGCAGCGCACCCTGGAAGAGGTCCGGAGGAGTAGCGGTAGCGGTGCCTTTGGTTTTGCCCAGGTTCGCCACGTGGCCGCCTCGTGGCCGCCTCGGTGCCGCAGGCCCACGCGAGGAGTCTGCTGGCCTGGCGGTCACCGCGCTTGGGGGGCAGCTTGCACCACAGAGGTACCAGTCGGGAGCTTTTGGATAGCGTGCCCACAGATCCAACGTACTGAAACAATCAAGACGGAGGTTTTTCGCTAGTTTCGGCCCCTAGGGGCTCTCGCCGGGCGCCGGGACCGTCAACAAACGATTCAGGACGACGAACCGGTTCTGGGGAATGGGTCGAGGCTTCCCGGGACCCGTCTTGAAGCAATCACGGCATCGGCTCTCCTGGTGCCTCTCCGCCGGTTCTGGCCCACCCCGCTTCGGGGCGGCACGCTGTCGGCTTCCGAGCTCCCGAGCCCCAAATCATCAGGGGCAACTCGGGTCAGGGCTAACTCGGGTTCGTTTCTCGGGAATCCGAGCCCGAGTTACCCCGGGCCCGAGTTACCCCGGATAACTCGGGCGTCCCCAGCCCCAAATCAAATCAGAGTTTCCACTGTTCGATGTCAGGGCTAACTCATGTTCGTTTCTCGGGAATCGAGCCCGAGTTACCCGGCCCGAGTTGCCCCGCTAACTCGGGCGTCCAGAGCCCCAAATCATCAGGGGTAATTCGGGTCAGGGCTAACTCGGGTTCGTTTCTCGGGAATCCGAGCCCGAGTTACCCCGGGCCCGAGTTACCCCGGATAACTCGGGCGTCCAGAGCCCCAAATCATCAGGGATAATTCGGGTCAGGGCTAACTCGGGTTCGTTTCTCGGGAATCCGAGCCCGAGTTACCCCGGGCCCGAGTTACCCCGGATAACTCGGGCGTCCAGAGCCCCAAATCATCAGGGATAATTCGGGTCAGGGCTAACTCGGGTTCGTTTCTCGGGAATCCGAGCCCGAGTTACCCCGGGCCCGAGTTACCCCGGATAACTCGGGCGCCCAGAGCCCCAAATCATCAGGGGTAATTCGGGTCAGGGCTAACTCGGGTTCGTTTCTCGGGAATCCGAACCCGAGTTACCCCGGGCCCGAGTTACCCCGGATAACTCGGGCGCCCAAGAGTTCCCAGGCGTCAACGTCCAGAGCCCTCCGAGTTTCCCGCCCCGCGGAGTGGACCGACGCGCTGTCCGCTCGCACGGCGCAGCGTGTCGCCGGGGCTGCCGGGGCGACACGCTACGCCACGTACACAGCATAACTTGCACCACGCAGGTTCTACCTTACAGCTTACACATCCACAGTGCAACAACTTGCTGTGTGGGGTCCACGCCGGCTAGCGTGTAGTTGTTCAGCATTTGGTTTAAGGAGGTAGGTTGATATTGGTGACTTGGGTCAAAGAGGTGGCTGCTCTCCTCCGCGCCACCCCTGCCCTTGTCGTGGCCATACCCCGCAAGGGGATCCGTATCCGCATCCGTTCCAAGGGAAATCGTATCTGTATCCGTTCCCCATTCCTTCTATCTTTCTAGCTTTCCTGCCATCTGAAAAAGCGTACAGGGTGGTAGGGTGGGCCGTGCGTTCCGCCTGAGCCTTCCTTGCGGTCCACGCGGTGGAGGTTTCCGTGCGGACATGTTTGTTCAAGCTTCCAGCACCCATACGAATGGAGGGCGGCCCGTTTCCAAAGCGATGGTTGCTGCCCTACCCTTGGCACCGCGCGCACTCGTCGTGACAGTCGCCAGCGGCTGCACGGACCGCGGATGGCTGTTCTGCAAGCTTTGTGTCGTCGCTCGGGGTCTTCCAGGCTGCCTACGATTTTTCGAACCGCGAGGCTCTTGGCAGCTGCACGCTCGCAGCATGGCCCGCTCACGGCAGTATGGCACCCGCCCCGTGCTCCTTGGGACCGTGAGAGAATTTGCAGCTTCGAGCAGCTGCCGCTGCAGATGCAGGGCATGGGGTGGACCTCGACGGTGTTTTCGCGATTTCGTGTGCCGTTTTCGTGTCGACCTCGTTTTGCGTAAAGAGGCGGATTGAAGACAACACGAGGGAACACGAAGACAAAACGAACACGACAAACGCAGTGCAGGGTGCTCCGAATCGGGCCCGCGCGCGATGTGTTTCCTTCTCGCCTTGCTCATGGGGCCCATCCTGAGCGGCTGTTTGCGCGCAAGCTGCCCGCGTAGGGTCGCGCGTGGGTGCCCTCTTGTCCACTCGGTGTGCCACGCTGGCAGCCCGCGTAAGCCACCGCGCACGGTCGTTCTGTCATCGTGCGCGAGACCGTCTGAATTTCTGCTCCTCGCGCGCGCGTGGGCGCAGGTAGATCGCCTGTAAGGCTTCTTGCTTTGTACAGCGGCTCTGTGCTCGTGTCTGCGGGTGCGACGGGACACACGCGCGCAGGGTTTCCACCGTGCAGGCCCTTGGGGTCCCAACACCTTCTCTACCAGCTGCCAGCAGTAGCGAGCACAAGGGCTGCGCAAATTTGTTCATGAGGGGGGCACGCTGCAGCATCACTGGTGCGCTCTGAGCTTGCTCTGGTCATGATCTTCCCCGCGACGACGACGACGACGACGACGACGACGACGACGACGACGACGACGACGACGACGATCCCCCCTCAAAATGGTCCCCCAGACCGCACATTGGCGACGAGAGGCCTCCCAGAAGGGCCTCCCAGAAGGTCAGGAAGGGGCGAGATGCGTCCTGCAGTAGGGCTTCCCTCTTCGATCTGTCCTCGATCTTCGAAGCTCGGCGGAGGCGACGACGACGCGCACGCGTCCTCGCCCAGGTGGTCACCGCGGCGTTTCTGAGGCGCAGCGGCCTTGTCGTCGTCGTCGTCGTCGTCGTCGTTGTCGTCCTCGTTATCCTCGGCATCGCCGTTGAGGAAGAGAGGGGGAGGAGGAGGAGGAGGAGGAGGAGGAGGAGGAGGAGGAGGAGGAGGAGGAGGAGGAGGAGGAGGAGAGGAGGAAAGGGAGGAGGAGGAGGGAGGAGGAAGATGGAGAGGTGGAGGAGGAGAGGAGGGCGGGGGCGGCCGCCGCGGGTTTTCGGAGGGCTCCAAGGACTTCGGAGGGTCTCTTGGGCTTCTTCTCTGCCCTGCCCCTCATCTGCTCCCGCCGCCCCCCCCCCCCTGTTGCGCGTGCCCCCGCGGCGCCTCCTCCTCCGCCAGCGTGCCCCCGGTCCCCTCCGCTCGCTCGCGCGGGCGGCGCTCTAGCGTCGATCACCCATCCCCTAGTCCTTGGCCTCGCTCGGACGTGTGCATGATTTCTCGGCGAGGACCATCGCGGAGCATCCTGGATCACCTTGCGACACAGGAGCGCACGAGGCCGAGACATGCACGGAGAAGGGACGCCCGAGCGATGCCAACCATCTCGATCCCCGATCT